TCGACTCTTTTAAATTAAACCAGAGAGCGTTGACAGAGAGGAGAAGGTAGAAATGACTCAGCCTGTAACTGAAAATATGGATGGAGGACAACAGTTTAGCTTGTTTGTCGCACTAGCTCCGAGCTAATACATATAAGGCAATATAGCGTGAGGGCTAGTGCGAACGCTAAGCTAAGCTGAGGTTCTTCTTCCATGAAGCAGCTCTTACTATTTTATTATTTCTACATTAAGTTTTTATTGTATTTTCTTGCAGTATATATATAAACTGTACTTACTTTTTCCTTACAGTTCAAAGCTTTATCTCATTTAATGAATACATTAAAATTTTTACCAAGATGTTTTCTGCCTTTGGATGACTCTTTTTATGATTTTTTTTGCATGTGTTTTAATTTAAGCACATGTACTGTATATGTTCCCTTTTTGTGCATCCTCAAAGTTTTAAAAGCATTTAAGCAAATGTAAGCATAAAAATATGACAATGTGAATTCTTTTTTTTTTTTTTTCAGATTTAAAAACTGGCAAAGTTTTGATCATGTTTGAAATAAACATGTGAGTCATTGTGATGAAAAAATTAAATAAGATGTTTTGATTTATAATAAAAAATAAGGAAAGTATGAAGGTTTTTAATAAAAAACAGAAAATCTGCAGTTTATAACAAGGACTTGATGCTGCATCTTTATATGTAAAACTTTATCTGTGTTTTGTTTTACCACACATTTTACACATTTTCTTTCTTAGACACAAATACAAGTTCTTTTACATCACATGAATACTTTTCATGTAAACCCCCAAATTTTCAGTTTTACCAACAGAAGCATCAACAAATGCATTCAGACATTTTTTTTCTGTTCATAAACAGATATTTTTATCTAAAGAAAATAAAACAGCCTCTGTGTGTAGTAGGTCATTATTTATATTAAAAAAGGTCACACTGATGCATCTTTTTTTTTATTAGACAGATATTCAGTTTTCAAAGGAAATTATTTGATATAAATATGTAGGTTTTTCTGGATGTTCTTGGATTGAAGACCGTTTTATTACAACTTAGGTGAAGTAAAATATTTTTTTCAGACTTCTAAACAAATCTGTGCAAAAATGTGTCAGAAAAGACAAAATCTTCAACTAAAAGGCAGGATAGACTGGATGAATAATGATGAGGTCTTTAATCTTTGTCGTGAAATTAAAAGTATTCTAAAACAGGCCCCTCACACACAAATTTTCTATTTTCTTGCCATTTTTCATTGAGGAACTTAAAAGGTAAAGTTCATTCTGTGAAAATAACCAGATCTGTCTGCTGTGAGCACCATTTTTGTTACATTTCTGTCTCTGAGGAACACATAATGCTTCATGATGTTATCATTAACCCATATGTGTTGGTACTGGTGTGTCTTTTCAAAATAAACACAAAGGTGTGTAAACGATGAGTCATCATCTTAATCTGGGTTTGACTCGTCGTTTGGGGCCACAGATGAATGTTTTCCCGATGTGCTTCCTGAGGCTCTGGTCCCTGAAGCCGTAGATGAGCGGGCTGAGGAAGCGTGGCACCAGGATGAAGCAGAAGTAGTTGAAGAACKSMAYGTCCTCYKKCAGCCACGTGGTGTGCAGCACRAAGAGGGTCTCGGTGAAGGGGTKTGTGAAGGCCAGCATGCACAGCAGCAGCTGGAAGCCGTGCAGCAGCACCGTGTGCAGGGCTTTGCTCACCGACGCTCTGTCCTGACGCAGCTTCCTGGTTTCCAGCAGAATCCTCAAGTAGGTGAAGAGGATGATGACGGCCACCACAGAGAAGAAGAACACACTCACAGCAGCTCTGAACAGGGCCTGCACTGGGGAGGAGTTGAATAAAAGATTCACACAAGTCACAGGGGTGGAGAGGATGTTCAGAGCCGGGTCTGGTTTCCTCAGGCAAAACTCAGTGATGGGTACGGTAAGGCTGAAGAGCCACAGACACAGATTGATGACCCAGATCCTGTCTGAACGCCAGAAGGCCGGGGGCTTCAGGGGGTAGAAAATGGCAACGTAACGCTCCAGGGACATGGCAGCCAGGATCAAACTGGTGTTCTGAAACGTGGTATTGGACACAACTAGCAGCGGGGCGCAGAACAAAAAGGGCAAATCTGACCTTATTTAAAGCACAGAAGGAGAGTGTCACAGAGGTTAATATCTGCACAGTGTCGTTGATCAGCATGTGTGCAAACAGGACGTAACGTGACGTGTCCAAAAAGTGTCTGTGAGAGGCGAAGGTGTGCAGCATGACAGCGATGCAGCAGAGGAAGAAGCAGAAGAAGGGGATGACCGCACACATCTTGACGATCACGGAGGTTTTTGGTGAGGTTGAGTCGAGAAGAAGCTCTGTCAGGTTCTGCATCTTGGTCGGTCACCTGTTTGAGAAAAATACAGTTTATACAAACATCAATATTAAAGAAATACAATAAAACCAAACTAATATGTGCAGCAAAGAACACAGATGAACCCTCATGTCTCAACTAACAGAGTGTTCATCAGTCAGAGGAGGTCAGATCTCTCTTCTCCTCATCATGATGTGTTTCCTCACCAGGAGCAACTTTTTCCTCTTTTACCGATGCTTAGAGCCACTTTCCAATTGGTTGATTATTCCCTGAAACCTCCAGAGATTCATCTCTATCATCATTTAGAGTTAGGATTCTCATTAGAAACAGATTGTACTGATTATCATAATGAAGATGAACACCTTTAAACCTTTGTTTAAATAATGACAGTTATCCTTTTTATTTTACCAGTTAGTTCAATTGAGTGCCAGATCAGAGGATGTAAAACATCAATAATAAAAGCACAGAAACATTGAAAAAAACAACATGAATCAACATTTTAACAACATATTGTACCACATTTGGAAGAGAGTCTTGGGAACAATAAAAACAGAGACAAACATTGTAAACCCAACAGCTAAAAGCAAGCTGACCGTCTTTGTTATCGTCCAGCACTGAGGAGTTAAAAGACAATAATGACTCAATCATGTTCTTCGTTTTGGCCTTTTCCACGGCAGTAAAGGGACCCGTTACACATGAGGTACAAACCTGCATGTCCACCTGGTAGTTAAAAATGTATAAACAGAGTAGTTACTGGTAATTACTTGGTAAGTTGCATATATGTATGCAGTACAGATACTTACCAGGTACTTCTCCTTGATAAGAAGCTTTTTGTGATGGAGATGTGTGCCTGAATGATGCAGTCAGATGGTCTCCCAGGGCAGATTGGTTTCTATGTCAATAGGCCAAACAAAGAACAATTTAAAACACTTGTATGGACAAAAAAAAAAAAAATCAAAGAACTTAATGTTCCTTGTACAGATGTGGGTTACCCACCTTGGAGTCAGGCCTGGGGAAGGGAGCACCTAGTGGCTGGGTCTCAGCCTTAATGGGCAATATGGGTTTGCCTTCCTGTGGGCCCACCACCTGCAGGAGAGGCCATATGAGTCCGGTGCATGATGCTATGGGTGGTAGCCAAAGACGGGGGGCCTTGGCACTCTGACTAAAACTAGATATTGGGACATGGAAAGTAAGTGCTCTGGTGGGGAAAGGGCCTGAGTTTGTGCATGAGGATGAGGCAGCGTGGATTTGGGAAACACTCTCATCAAGAGGGCCTGATCTTATTCCACTCTGGAGTTGCCCTTGGTGAGAGGTGCAGGTCTGGTGTAGGTCTACTTTTAGCTGCCTCACTTGGAGCTTTCCTCAGTAGATGAGAGGGTAGCTTCCCTGTGCCTTCAGGTTGGGGGTGGACTCAGACAGTTGTTTGTGTCTATACAGGCAACAAACAGCAGTTCAGTGTATCCCATCTTTTTGGAATCCGTCACCGGGGTGCTAGATTGTGCTCCAGCTGAGGACTCCTTTATTCTGCTGGGGAACTTCAATGCTCACCTGGATAATGACAGTGTGACCTGGAAGGGGGTGATTGGGAGGAACAGCCTCTCTGAGCTGAACCCGAACGGTGGTCTGTAGTTGGACTTCAGTGCTAGTCACAGTTTGTCCATCACAAACACCATGTTTGAACATAAGGGTGTCTATAAGTGCACGTGGCACCTGGGCATCCTAGGTTGTAGATCGATGATTGACTTTGTAGTCGTGTCATCTGACTGGCGGCCAAATGTTTTGGACGCTCTGGTGAAGACTGGAGGTGAGCTGTCAACTGATCAGGTGGGGGAAGATGCTGAGCAGGCCCAGTAGACCCAAATGTGTAGTGAGGGGTTTGCTGGAAACTCCTGGCAGAGGAACCCATTAGAAAGTGTTCAACACACACTTTCAGGAGAATTGTAACTGAATTCCAGATGAGGCGAGGGACACTGAGTCTGAGTGGACCATGTTCTGAGCCTCAATTGTCGAGGTGGCTGGCTTGAGATGCGGCCGCAAGGTTGTTGTGCTTTTTGCTGCGGGCGTCCTCAAACTCTGTGGTGGACGGACGCTGTCAAGAAGGGGTCACACATGGCCTTATTGGCTGGTAGGACTCCAGAGGCAGTTGTAGAGTATCTGCAGGCCAAACAGGAATGGGAAGGTTGAGTTTAGGGACTTTGGGGTTGGTCTACATAACTGGGGCTGAGGTTGTTGAAGTGGCTAAAAAGCTCTGTTCAGGAGTGTCTCCACTCACTGCCTGATGTCCTGCAGTCTCTCTGACTTCTGATCTATATAAATCCTCAGATAATCCATCAGCTTCTCCTCATTCTGTATCTGATCCCCTGCTTCACGTTCTGCACGGCTGAATAAAAGATTAAGCTGCAGCGACATCTAGAGGCAAAGACTGCTCACAACAGCCAAACGCTTATTTTTTTTTTTGTTTTTATCTATTTATAGGTTTGTTTTTTTCTAGACATAGTTTTATTATCTGTACTGTATGTTATACATGTTGTACATGTACTGTATTGTATGTACCTGTGGTACATACAATAAATAAACTTTACTTACTTTTTTAATTACAGTTAGTAGTTTTATGTCATTTAAGGTTCACATTTCAAATATTACCAGGAGGTTTTCTGTCACTGCATGACTCTTATTGTGAAATATTGTTTATGTTTTCAGTGTTTTATTGTTTTAATTACTACATATGAATAAAAACATGTTTCCTTTCCCTTCATATACTCAACATTTTCAATGAGTTTGTACAAATCAAACCATAAAATGATGAAAATTTTTGTTAATTTTCTTAGATTTGAAAAACAGCAAAGTTTTGATCATGTTTGAAATAAACATATGTGAATCACTGTGATGACAAACAATAATTATGATGCTTGGAATTATAGTAAAAGGTAATGAAAGTATGAAGAACTTTATTATTGGTTTTAAAACCTGGAAAGTCTGCAGTTTATTCTAACAGGCACTCGATGCAGCTTCTTATCATGTGAAGTTTTATCTGTATTTACTTTTACGTCATGAATATTTAAAGTCTTAGACACAGAAACAAGTTTATATTTATTTATTTATTTATTTATTTATTTATTTATTTATTTTGCATTACATGAATAATTTTTCACTTATACCCAAAAATCTGCAGTTTTACAGACATAAACCTCGACAAGTGCATTCAGACATGTTTTCTATCCGGAAACAACATTTTCTGTCTAAAAATTATAATAAAACAACAATTCTTTCAAAGATTGAATCAAGCAAATGACTTGACACTGAAACAGATCAGCTGCAGGGCTGCATTCAGCTCAGTTCCACTGACAGCGCTGAGCAATCTTCATCACCCAGATTCTGCCTGGTTTATGTTTAACAGACACAGATCTGCAAAACGAACTGTTGACCCGTCTGTGAAACCTCTGCAGCCTCTGTGTGCCCAAAACAAAAGAGGTCATGACTCAGAGAGCAAAAAGTCACATCAATGTTTTTTTATTAGGCAGAAATTCAGTCAAAGCTTTTTGTCTGTAAATCATCAAAAATAAATTAGATACAAGTCTACTTCTAATTATAAACATAATGATTTAAATGCATCTTGGTAACAGTCAATAAATAGCTGAAATCTTCTCAAGTTTGTCATAACTAAAATTGTTGGACTAAAATCTAAAAACAGTATTTAACTAAATCTTCTCAATCATATAAAGCTTCTCGGAGAGATAAAAACATATGTTTGTGTGAAGTTTTGCTGAGATTAAAAGCAGTTTGTTATATTCATTATGGGATTACAATTTGCTGTGTGTAAAGTTTTATTATCATTTTTGGTAAAAGGCAGAATAAACAGGATTAACAATGATCACGTTTTAGGATTTCAGATCTGTGACAAAATTTTATTATTTTAAAAACAGGCTTCTCAGCAAAGTTCATCATTAATAAAGGGTCAGATTTTTGTCTCAGATGTGTGTTATTTTAAAGTAAACACAAAGGTGTGTCTCATAGAATCGGATTAAACATTGCAAAAGCTGAGTCAGCATCTTAAACTGGGTTTGACTCGTCGTTTGGGGCCACAGATGAATGTTTTCCCGATGTGCTTCCTGAGGCTCTGGTCCCTGAAGCCGTAGATGAGCGGGCTGAGGAAGCGTGGCACCAGGATGAAGCAGAAGTAGTTGAAGAACTGAAYGTCCTCCTGCAGCCACGTGGTGTGCAGCACGAAGAGGGTCTCGGTGAAGGGGTTTGTGAAGGCCAGCATGCACAGCAGCAGCTGGAAGCCGTGCAGCAGCACCGTGTGCAGGGCTTTGCTCACCGACGCTCTGTCCTGACGCAGCTTCCTGGTTTCCAGCAGAATCCTCAAGTAGGTGAAGAGGATGATGACGGCCACCACAGAGAAGAAGAACACACTCACTGCAGCTCTGAACACGGCCTGAACCGGGGACGAGTTGATAACTGTAGCTTTGCAAAGAACAGGGGTAGACAGGATGTTCAGAGCTGGGTCTTGTTTCCTGATGCAAAACTCTGTGACAGAGCAAGTGAAGCTGAAGAGACACAAACACAGAGTGATGACCCAGATCCTGTCTGAGCGCCAGAAGGCCGGAGGCTGCAGGGGGTAGAAAATGGCAACGTAACGCTCCAGGGACATGGCAGCCAGGATCAAATTGGTGTTCTGATAAGTGCTAGTTGATAAAAATAAAAAAGGGACGCAGAGCAAAAATGAAAATCTAACCTGGCCCATGGCAAAGAGGAAGAGCAGCACAGAGAGCAGCACCTGCACAGTGTCGTTGATCAGCATGTGTGCAAACAGGACGTAACGTGACGTGTCCAAAAAGTGTCTGTGAGAGGCGAAGGTGTGCAGCATGACAGTGATGCAGCAGAGGAAGAAGCAGAAGAAGGGGATGACCACACACACTTTGACGATCACTGAGGTTTTTAGTGAGGTTGAGTTGAAAGGAAGCTCTGTCAGGTTTTGCATCTTGGTCGGTCACCTGTTTGAGAAAAATACAGTTTATACAAACATCAGTATTAAAAATATAAAATAAAACAGTGCAGCAAAGAACAGATGATCCCTCATGTCTCACCTAACAGAGTCTTCATCAGTCAGAGGAGTTCAGATCTCTCTTCTCCTCATCATGATGTGTCTCCACCACGAGCAACTTTTTCCTCTTTTACCGATGCTTAGAGCCACGTTCCAATTGGTTGATTATTCCCTGAAACCTCCAGAGATTCATCTCTATCGTCATTCAGAGTTAGGATTCTCATTAGAGACAGATTGTACTGAGGAGTGAAGAAAACTGGATTATCAAATTTAAAATGAACATGTTTGAACTTTTGTTTAAATAACAATAATTCTTTTTATTTTACCAGTTTAACAGATAACTAGTTCTGGTTTACATATATAAAACGGAGTTTATGTAAAGATGTTCTGCAAAAAAAAAAAACCACTATATTTTAATTTGATGTGTAGATAAATTCTTGTCTTTCATTCTTAACATTTAAAGTTACATATTTTATTTAATTTGCTTGTTTGAAACTGTTGCTCTGTGGTACCGACACTATCCTGCATGTTTTAGAGTTTTCTGTGCTCCAACACACCTGATTTGGATAAATGGTTGATTAACAGGCTTCTGCAGGTAATTAAGTTACAGAATCAGGTGTGTCTAACTAACTTAGTAGATAAACAAAAGGTTAGGTTATGAACATCCTGCAGGAACAGGGGCTCAGAGGATGGATGGAGCTAAATGCAGGACAATCCTGGAAGAAGACCAGCAAAAGACTCAAGACCAGGGGTGGAGCCAGAGGGGTGGCTGGAGTGGCAGCTGCCTCAAGTATCCGCTACTTTGTGTTGATTTAATCATATAAAATCCCAGTAAACATTTTTAAGCTTGTGATTAAATGAGACAAAATGTGGAAATTTTAAGGAGTGAGATCATTTTTGTTTTTGTTTACCAGTTGTGTTGTCCACAGCTAAAATTAGCTACTTGTTGCTAATAGTTCAGATGTGAAAAGTGAAGAAAATATGTGAAACACAAAACCACCTCGACATTATAAACTGATTCCCTTTAACACAAATGTGTCACATCAAAAAAACTTCTGGAGCCCACTCGATCTGGATTTTGTACCTGTTTGGCTGCCTGATGTTTGCGAGGTGAAGAGCAAAAAGGTAAACAGACGTATGGAAAACACAAGGATGTGGCAAAAACAAATGGGACTTTTGATACTCTGCATTATCTTTTTTGACAGCCGTCCAGTGTCACAATCTTACACAACATGACTGAGGTCCCTAATCACAGCCGAAAGGGACGGGTGTGTTTGAAGTTGAATGTGATGAATTTATCCATCATTTGATGGTTAAACTGCTTCACTTCCTGTCCAGTGCTTTCAGACGAGCTGATCATTAGCAGAATGCTCCTCTGCTCAGCAGCGTAACTTAAGTTTCCTTTGTTAGACAAACAAGCCGAGTCCACTGAGAGCAGCTGGCCGGGTCTCCTCAGGTCTTTATGTCTGACTCGTGCGTCATCAAACAGGACCACGCAGGGCTGGAACAAAACCTATCCAAAACAAACTTTCTGCCTCTGAACCCTGAGAGATGTAGCCTCAACTAAATAACCCATTACTGGCTGTTAGAGTCAGTGCTGGAGCTGAGCAACAAGAGTTTCTGTAAAATATTAAATAATACAAGATAAGTTACAATTTCCTCCAAATGCAGAGTGAACACTCATGGCTAAAATTAGCTTAAAAGGCTGAAAATGAGATGCTCAGAGATGTTAAACGCTAGCTGAAAGCTAAAAGCAAAATGCTAATTAAACTAAATGTAGCAAAACAAAAGCTAAAAGTTAAACATAACAGACTAACTTGAAGCTAAATGTTAAATGTAACATAAAGCTAACTAAGAAGCCAAAAGTTGCAAAACACTAGCTAAATACTAAAATTAACCATAAAAGCTAAATGTAGTATCCTTTATTTAACCAAGAAATTGACTCATTGAGATAAAAAAAAGCTCTTTTCTAAGAGTGACCTGGCCAAGACAGCAGCAAAAAATCAAAACACAAAAACTAAGAGACATCACATAACTAAACTTGAGGGCATCTACAAGTGCCAAGTGATCGGTGTCTCTGTCCTTTAAAATTGATTTGAATTGTCCCAAAGTAACGAGAGGTGATAACTTCAAATCCTTCTGTGTGTTCTTCCAGCTGAAAATCTGAAGGCCTTTTACCGAGTTCAGTTCCAACTTTTGGCAGCGAAACAGCAACTGAAGATTGAAAGTAGCAAAATGCTAAACAGCTAATAGTTGCAAAACATTCGCTAAAAACTAAAATTAACCACAAAGGTTAAAGTAACAAAACAGCAGCTGAAAAACTACAAGTTGCAAGACTGTTGATTAAAAGWAAAAAAAAAAAAAAAAAAACACTAGCTAAAAACTGAAAAGTAGCTGTTATGAAAATATCTATTTAACAAAGACAGAAATACGTGGTCCAAGAATGAAGGCACTTCGTGGAGTGATCAGCTGAGTTTTATTGCAACAACAGGAAACACAGAGAACAACATCAGACTGTTCCTCTGCTCTCTGCTCCTCTTTTCTCTGAGGCAGTTGAGGCCTCATATATACTGTTTAACAAACACTATTATGTCATCTTAATAAAGCAAGATTTCATCCTAAGGAAATGCTAGGTCAATGGAAAACACAAAGATAAGCACAAGTGATATCTAAGAATGACTGTTGTTAGCAAATCTTGTTCTGACTTTAATCATTCTATCTGCTGATAAACAGCATGTCATGAAAATCTAGGTCATTAAAGTATGTCATAAATTACTGGCTTAAACAGAAAAGTATTAGTTCCATCACAGTAACCAAGCAAAAGCAAAACAACAACTAAAAGCTATATGTAGCAAAACAGCAGCTAAAACCCAAAATGAGCAAAAAACTAGCTAAAAGTTTTAACATGTAGCTGAACAAGCAGGATATTGTGTAATGTTTCAGCCTTTTGTGGACCTGATGTCTGCCTTGTTAGTCCAACTTCAACTGTAGAAACTAGCCAGTGGGAACCTTTATAAACATATACTTTTTTTTTTCATGAACTCACATCATCTGCATGAGAAAGAGGGTCCCACTTTGATTGACAACAGATGGTTTAAAATCAAAGTTAATTTAGTTTGTTTCAGTTTCTGGCACTTCTGATAATGAGTTGTTTCAGCGTTTATAGATATTGTTTCATGAAATGTAAAGTTCTGGCCTTTTACTTTCTTCCTCTGGGAGAGGTGACAGATATTATTAGTTCTGTAAAGAAACTGCAGAACTGTAAACAAGTCTCAGTCTGGTTTAGACTGATCGTACTGAACTGGATCAGACTGAAAACCTGAACCCTCCAAAACAAACAGAGAGAGGACAGATCTAGCACTCATCTGTTTGTGTCTTCTGCTTCTACTTATTATGTAATTATAACCTGCAGTATGACAAATTCATAAGATCTTACAGTAATTTCCCTAAATTATAAATCAGAGAGAATACAAATCAAAAACAAAAAATTTATATTAGACTTCAAATCTTAAAAGCTGAGGTCCTGGTGTAACAAGATACTCCATATGAGAATAATGATTGCTAGAATTAAATTTGTTTAAAGGATCTTTTTTTTGTTCTAAAGTTCTCGAAGAAAACAGCTTCCTGATCATTTATCTTCTGTACACACAGAGGAACAGAGAACAGGCTGAACTGGTCAAACGTCCGTCATCAGCCCCCTCTAACCTGCACGTATCAGCGGGACGTTACAGATAACACCAAACACGCACATTTTCAGGCGGCGTCAACAGATCAATACCGTTTACGTAATGAACGGGGGGGCCGAGGCCTTATAAATACCTGCAGGAGGCAACAGTGGTTATCGCTGAACAGAATCCAAGCTTTCTGGAGGAGAAGAAACATTTTACTGAGACAAGCTGACAGCTGAGATTTGGAGATCTCACCTAAAAAAAACCTACGATAGCAAATATATATATATATAGCTCAAGGATTTTGATCAGTTTGTTAGTGCAGGAGAGCCACCTGAGCTGAAAAATGCAAGCTGTTCGACAGTGTTCTGCTTGTGCCAGACGTGCTGCTGGAGGGTTTCAGCACAACCAACCAGAAAATCCACTGCTGAGGAGAAGAGCGGCCTGCCTGCGCTCCCTCAGGTCAGTTAACAGGATTTGCTCAACGCTCAAACCTCGTGTTTGCTGCTGATTAATTAACATTTTGTGTCCATGCATTGTTCCTGTAAATACGTGACCGTGTGTTGGTTTCTGCAGCAGCTCTGAGAGCAGGAGGCCCCGAGTCCAGAAGCCTGGAGATCTGACGAACCCTGCACACATGAGTTTAGCTTCTTTGAGTGTTGGCCACGGCCTTTGGGTCAGTCTTTTATGTCACGCAAACATCACATTACTGCTTTGATGTGGCCTTAATGGTGAAAAATGAATTAAAACAGGGATGTTTCTCTTTTGTCTGCAGCAAGTGGAGGATCTCTCACACAACTCGTTGCTCAGGAAAGCCGCCTCGGTGCTGACAGACAGCTCGAGCACCTTCCTCTCTCAGGCCACCTTGGCCCTCACTGACGCCCTGACGGACTATTCAAAGGTAAGACATGGGTAGAACATAAATAACTGGGTGGAAAAAAAAGCTATTTCTGATGTTTATGTCACTGAGAAATAAAACTTTGTTTACCTGCAGGCTGTGCACTCACGCATCGCCTTCCAAAGAAAATACCTGGCCTCGCTGGGGAAGATGAGCCAAGCGGAGGAGGAATCACTGCAGCAGGCCATCTGCGACTGGCGTGCAGAGGTGAGTGGACACCGAACAAAGACTTAAAGCAACATATTTGCTCATCTCTTGTACTAAATGTTCCTGTTTTGTTGACAGGCTGCTGAGAGACTGGATGAATGCAAACACTACGAATCAACCTGGACCAACGCCATCAACCTGTCTAAGATGGCAGCGGAGGCGGCATACACCTCAGGTGAGACGCTCTCATTAAACCTGCTCGTGTTTATTGTTAGAAATGACTTGTTTATTAAGTGTTTAAGTGTTATTTTGTGTGAAACCAGGAGCCCACCAGGCGTCCATCTTGGTCCGGACGAACGTTCAGGTGGCTCAGTCGCAGGTGGAGGACGCGAAGAAGCTGTCAGCGGAGGCCGACAAGAAGCTGGCTGAAACCAAGGCGGAGGAGATCCAGAGGATGGCGGAGTACACCGCTTTTCTAGAGGAAGGCGGCGAGCACGAGGTGCACGAGGCTTATCTGAGAGAGGACTGAGACAAACCGCATCAAAGTGCGATTGATTTTCTGTGGAAAACTTTGGCCTACTCACAGGGGTTGTTTTGAGCCGGTAGCAATCCATAAACTCCACACACACACACACACACACACACACACACACACACACACACACACACACAC